CATTTCGAGCCTAAAACAATGTCACTCGTTCCGGCTAAATGTGCATAATGCGTTGCGAAAAGGGAGATATACAATTCAATTATGTCGCTTTTCTGGGGCGAGGATCGTGGGAGATGCACAAGGTTTTCGCTGAAACAAGCGAAATTTCGTAATTTCCAACGGCGGAATAGATTTTCTGGAAAAAAATATTCGCCGGGGTTTGTTATTTTTGTTGTTTCTCTTCGGCGATCTTCTTACATTTTCGTAATCACACATCACATACGTTTTGAATATTTTATTATTCGCACTGAAATATGCAACTTTGCAGACCAAAACTCCAAGGGTAGGTTGAAGATGTATTTTGAGCGTAGCAACTCCTATTTCAATAAAAATAACAATATCCTGCACAACTACCCGGGAGAATAAAGTGCAACAAAGACCAGACGACAGACGCATCCTGAAATTCCAATTCAATGCGTTTTCTTATTTCTCGAGCCGATGTTGTATGTAAATAATTTACACGAGCCGAGCTTCAACGGACCAACTTTAAGATTTCTCATCGTGAGAAGCATATAAATATAAAATTTATTTTCAACTCCCAGCACATAAATAGAACAGTCTCAACTGTGGTGGTTGAACGCATTAAAAACAGTGTCGCAATATCATATCTACAGGAACCAACGGTACCAAAAAACCCAAGACCCAAAAAAAACATCCCTACCCTACCTTAGCTTATCCAACCCACGTTTCTTGGGTACTTCGCACTTTACCCGGGTAAACCTAGGTTTAGTCGTTTATCTAGCTTTATCTGTATAACATAAGACATACCTATACCTACATAAAATAATAACAAGGCAAATTGTTATCATTTTAGGTTATAAATTAATAGCCTCTGGCAAAATATGATACATATCAAAGTATTTAAATATACTAGGGCGACGATATAAGTATAATGGTATTATAGACCGGTATTATAGATCTATCATTAAAATTTCATTGTTTATTTTATAACAATTGGGAAGAATTTTGCATAGAATCCTCATCTAGCCACAAATTAATGAAAAAAGTGTAATTGAGCGTTTTGTATAGCGAACCAATATTTTTTGTTTCATTACAACACTGTTTACCAACCAACAGCCTATGCCTATACCGATGAAACGGTTGTTATCTTTGGTTATTTGAAAAAAGCGGCATAACATACCCGACAAAGGGATAAAATCTAACAAAACCCAACATTAAAAACCCATTGAAGAAATGTATTTCGTTATTGGCAAAATGTATTATGGAAGACTGGAAATTGCAATGCAAATTGTTCGCATTTGCATAGAAATGCTCCCATCTAAATGTTTAAACGAAATAGAACTGCGTTTTAGTGCACGTTGCGCATATTAAAAACAAGAGTGGATTTTTACATGTAGTTAATTAAAGTTTATTTCAATATTTTTGCAGTAGTTCGCAATAAGACAAAAAAATAATTCGCAATTATTGTTCAAGGTTCTACTGGTGCGCGTAACTCCATTTTACTTCTCGGATAATTAAATAAAAAGTTTAAGTAATAAAATAATTGCTCGCACTAAATATATCAGGATGATCCGTTTTCATAAGCATATTCAATTACGGATAATCTCCGACGACCGAGTTTGATTAAATCTAAAACTTTCCGCCCGGCAATTCGATTAGCAAAGCACAACAATTCCGTTATCTGAGCGTTTTCTTCGCCTCGGCGAAATTGGATGAACGCACACGGCTCCCATTTTTTGGTCGAATTTCCCACCGAAGAGATTAATACCAATAAGTGTCGGTTCGGAGATTACGCGTTTCCGGCGCTTTCTTTGCGTTACCTACCTAAAAAGATCATTTTTAATCGGCCGTCAGCCGAAATGCTCGAGGTAAACCAAACTCGTTCGAGACGAGTTATTTGTTATTTCGCGCCGGATTTCGCTCCATTATTCGGAAAATTCTTTATTGAACGATCATTTAGTTTGAACTCGATTGTAAATTGAGTCAACTGTATCGGTGATTCCTATACAATAAATTTAACACTTATCATAGAGGACGGGAATGGAATTCGCAGTATCGAAAATCTGCGGTCGGGCAATGAATTCGAAAATTTAAGCGCAGTGGATATGGTGCAACAGTGAGTAGGTGTGTATGTGCGTGCCTATATGCATATACCTGCTGGTATCCGCAGTAATCGCCTAAAATCAATGGCGTATCGTTCGATCCAATTAAACTGGGATGAAAAATAGACCAGTTTCGCCAGCGAATTTTACTTAAAACGAACAGGAAATTACGATTTTTTTATACCAAAAGAGTAGATATATCCGACTGAATATTTTATAAAATTTTAATAGCTTTACATTACCAGTCTAAAGATTTATTATACCAGATACTTGTACGGTTTAAATTTACTCACACACAGTAAATTTCCCGTTTCCAAAATTAAGGATTGTTGAAATACCTACATACGACACAGCGCTTTCCTTAATACTATGCCTACGTAAACAACTTTCGAAGAAAACGGAAATATACGGAGTTTTTTTCTTCGTTAGTTCTGGAACTTTCCACCCCATCGTGCAGTAGTATCGCCCTATCTCAATCTACCTCTAATATCGGTCGAACGAGTTTAAAATATTTACTCAAGTTCGATATAAGTACGAAATGTTTTCGACTCGTCGTCGTTCCGCATAGCCGAAATGAATCAACGAAAAGTTAATTTCCACATTTTCCACTCCTCCGCATTATTGGTAAAGTTTCATTAAGTTGTAACGGTAAGGAAAAGCTCTTATTAAAACGGCGGGAACCTCCGCCTAAAAACCTCTGAAATTACGAAATTTATGTAGACCTCCTATAGGCTGCTGAGGTATAAAGATGCTCCCTGATATTCGATAAATTACCGATATATTGCGGATATTTTCAAGCCACGGTTTTCCTGTTTTATCGTATAAGAACAGAATATTAGATGTAAACAGCGAGTTTATTAAATAAATGTTGGGAGAACATTATCAAAAATTGGGCGATATAAAATCTAATTAATAGGAAAACATTGTTTTAATACTAGAAGATATTAGTTGTTTCCAAAAGAAAATTCAAAATAGCAGGTGATCTCACCTGTTCCAGAAAATGTATGGAAACGTTTGCTTAAAAATCGTAAAAAATAACTGTTAGAAAAATGAGCAGGAAATTTTATTTTTTCGAGCGTACAAAGTCATTCCTCTAATGGCTCATAATATTCCGGGAGCATAACAAGATTTACGATAAAGAAAATATGGAAAGAAGAGGATCATTTTGCGAGGTAAATAGCCCATGTGATTGAAAAGATGGGAGAGCTTTTTAAAGTGATTTTTTTTAGTTATATACGCATAGATGGATACGACGATGTCGGGTTATGAAAAAAGTAATGATGAAAAGGCAGCGTTTGGTATAAAAAAATAGAAATTTTATTGCTTCATTGCCGTAAATTCAAACCGCATGCATCTTTGGGAAAACTCGCGGGAAAAAATTAGGTTTTTAACGCGTGTTATATGTAAAACATTTTTCTCTGTGAAATATACCGGTTGACTCAATATTTCACAATTTTTGAGTAATAGTGGCTCCTTTTTCCAATCAAGTGTCGAAGTGTACCAACCTGTATATGTATATAACACTCTTCCTTCACTTCCAGTTTATTAGATGAAAGACTAGAGACGTTAAAACGACGACCGAGGAAAACAATGAAAATTCCGGCGCATTTTTCCCTTACCGGCGATAATATCGGATTAAATTCTAGAGCGCCATTCCTAGACGATAGTAAATTCCGCAAAAAGGGCCCGCAGGCGATAACGCCGCCGTTCGGATGACTAGTTTCAATATAGTCGATTTCTTGAGAAAACTCTCGAAAGCCAAAAGAAAATTTTTCACGTTCGAAAGTTTTTCTTCTGTTTGTTTTCCGATGCGACGATGTCGCGAAATATGACCGGCCGATATTCGCCCGAATCCCAATTGATGAGGTGGGATTTTAGCGCTCCCGTTCCATGTAAATGTTGAATGGAAATTTTATCTGATGCTTTTTGATACGGTATAACATACGAGGGACTGTTTAAATTAACGTTTCTTTACTGTATTCAGAATTTTTGTATAACCAAATGGTTTTGTAACCAAGCGATTACATGAGTAGCTGGAGGCATGGTCAATTTTAAGAGTTGAATAAAGAAAGATTATTTTCAAGTAACAATGATTAGAGTGAGAAAGTTCCAATCCCAGAATTACACTCTTTTTTCTCTTTATGTGAGACTAATGGAAGTTGTCTTTGTTGATGCACTCATGTACCATAATTGCGGACAATTTTTGCACTTAACTGTACTACCGACTGTTAAATTTTAATCGATATTCAGAAGTCGAAATAACCAATCGGTTTCAAAACCGTTGTGGAAATATGGTAACATCGCTTATTTGGTTGTTTTCACCAGTAGAACTGTCAAATGAAGGGTAAACAAGATGAAAATGAGGATAGTTTTTGTATTTCTTCTTCTTCTTCTACTTCCAAATAAAAGGTCTTATAGCTATTAGACCATTTTTGCGCTTTTTTTACATTTCCCGGTTCCTGATATTTTTCGACTGATTTAATTTTATTCATGTAATTATTTGACATTTAACGGCCAATAAAACACTGCTAAATAGTAAATACCATTTGTCTTATTACAATTGGTTATAAAGGGAAACCAATCTGTTACTATTAGATATCAATAACCGTTATATTACTATTGATTAAATTCATATAATCAACCGGTAATATTATACTCGACACTTCTAAATAGGGGCAACAGAGCAAAAGGTTATCGTGTATTAACCGGATACCCTGTATAATAATGAAACTGATGGTAACAAAATTGGCCATCAGACAAATAAAAATAACCAATAAAAAAACCAAAGATTGCGAATTTATTGCGATATCGCAATAAAAAGCTCTACAAAAAGCTCCTGCGATACATCACCGTCATAAACGCGAATAAAGTCTTATATAGCGTGCACGTACTACATACCTTTGATGGCCGGATCCGGATGGTGGTGACAATTGGAAACTTGGCATCCCCTTTTTTGTTCCAAGCTCGGGCAATGTCTTCCGCCGTTTTGAGGATGTACCTTTATCGACCTCGTTCGCGACATTGTTCCCGGTCCGCAGTCCGTGTCGCAAGCCGTCCAATGTCCCCACGAAGTCACTTGACAATCGACCACTGAAACAACAAAAAAATTGCCATCTTCATTGCCTAAACATTACAAGTTACAAACACGCTATGTGTGTGATTAACTACACTAACATAAATCTAGCAAATACATGTGTTTTGTACATTGCATGATTAAAAAAGTATTTTGTGATGTCTTTTTATGAATATCAAAGAAAGTAGGTATATAAACGTTTTTAATCAATTTAATTAACACCTTAAAAAAGAACCTACAGTCGGTGCAAAACAAATATCAATGGACGTCACTACTTCGTCATATTTTCCAAGCATTATGCCCAACTTTTAAAAATAAATACACAAAGTAGATTAAGCTTAATACCTGCAGAATTTAATTTAATGTTAACAAGAGATGATAGAAAATGTTAAAAACCAGAATTAAATCATCCAAAAAAATATATATTGTCAAAATTCAACGTTTGTATATAAAATTAATATTATTTTGGTATAGTAGGTTGGTAGGCACTGGCTGTCAAGTTACAGTGTTGCCGTTGTCTTCCGATCGGTACTTTTAATTTTCAATTTTTCTCTCCTTTTTTCTAGTTAACTAGCATCAACTACTAAAGGCTAATCAGAATAAAGAAGAAATTAGAATTTTTTGCGTAGTTATCTTTACCACATGTTACAAATGACACAATTTGAGCTTAATAAATAATTCAGATTCAGAAGTTTTCTCAGAAATTTTACTATGTACCTACTCTTTTAAGGGTCAATTGTACACTACATTTTTACTCGCACTGTTAAATATATTTCAGATGATATAAAGGAATTTGATAATTCATTATAGTGAACCCCTAAATATTTCCGCTGTTAAGAAACGTAAAACAGGTACCCCTAATTTTGAATTTGTTCTTGTCATTTTGCCATTTGAAAATTTTAGAAAATTCTTAGATTTTGAAAACTCTAGAAAAGTTGATATTTGTTTTGCACTGACAGTACATGTCAAATAAAACAAAGTACTCATTAAACAGAGAATAAATTACAAAATAGATATCATTGTTTTGACTTAATAAAAATTTTAGTATACACATAAAATCCGTTTTCCACTCAATAACCCACATGTAAATAATAAAATTGGATGTTGGGGTAGCAGAACGATTTAATTGGAAGGTATTAAAGGACTACATGTTTACTGAACGTAAACAAATTTGAACAGAACTTGACCGAAGAATATAATACCCACAATAACCTTTTTTAGTAACGAGTACGAGATTCGAGAAGACGGAATATCGAGGTTATTTATAGGAAAACCGACACGGTCCAGCAACTTTTCCAACGAAATACAGCCGTTTCGCCGTATTGAACCCTTTTTTACCGCTCAGCCAATTCGCGATAAAAACGTTATTGATATATTACGGTATTCGGATGCATGATGTATCGTAACACCGACATGGTTCTTTTGAAAGGTAGGAAAATATTGCTCGCTCTGCTAGTCGATAGAGATGCACCTCAAGACCTAATATAAATCTACGCAAAGGTAAAGCCTCCGTATTTTATAGCTCAATTTATTACCCATAATCTTCCTACACTCGATAGGATACACAAATTTTATTATTCTAATAGGTAGATAAAAAACTCTTGTAAACTCTTTCGATTCGATAATTTATTACAATAATTTAGCGGAAGGAATTTTTCTCTTTCTCAAGTAATATTTGCGTTAGAGTTTAGGCCGTTGGATTCGAGTTTACCTAGGAATTGCGAGAGTCTTCTCGAGTTAGTCGCTGTCGCTTTATTATGTGAAGAGCAAATTTCGCGCGACAGTGACGATAAATCTTCGTGATTGATGACGGTAGCACGCCGGCGATATTTTGAAGTCCCCGTATGAAAATGAGCCGTTCATTAAGTTCGGTGTGTCCGGGATGTAACCGTGCGTTAAAATAGGGGATTGTCGCCCTATAACAATAAGCGGAAAATCCAAAGGCGCTTTTCGCCAATTTATTAACGATTTAGTTTAGTGACGGTAAATACGTGCTGGGTTTGGGTAAGATGATGAGAGTAATAATCGTATACTACACACCATAGAAGCAAATTTAGTTTGTTATTTGATGAAAATATGAAAATCATTTACAGTTGGTGCGAAACAATTATCAATGCACGCCACTACTGTCGTTATACTTGCCAAGCATTGTGACCAATTTTAAAAATAAATGAACAAAATAGATTAAGCTTAATAGCTGCAGAAATTAATTTAATATTAACAAGGGATTATAGAAAATGTTAAAAAGTAGAATTGAATCATCCAAAAAATTATTATTTTCTAATAGTAGGTTGGTAGGCACTGACTGTCAAATTGCATTGTTGCCGATGTTATCCGATCGGTACTTTTAATTTTCAATGTCTTCTTCTTTTTTCTAGTTTATTAACCTCAACTACTAAAGGCTGTTTCAGCCGAATTATCAATAAATAATAATTTTTTGCCTAGTTATCTTTTCCACATGTTAGAAATGACACAATTTGAGCTCTAAATAATTCAGATTCAGAAGTTTTCTCAGAAATTTCACAATGTACTCTTTTACGGGTCAATAGTACACTAAATTTTTTACTCGCACTATTAAGTATATTTCAGTTGATAAAGGAATTTGTTGATTAATGAAATTATAATAAGACCCTGAATACGTCCGTCGTTTAGAAAGGTGAAACAGGTACTCGTAATTTTCAATTTGTTCTAGTCATTTTGCGATTTGACAATTTTAGAGAATTCTTAGTTTTTGTAAACTCTATAAAAGTTCGGCAACACTGCCTGCTTGTGACGTGATAATTTTTAGATGACGTGCATTGATATTTGTTTTGCGCGAACTGTACAACTGTATTGATGAAGTTGAATTTATCCGCATAAGATGATAAATTTCAGTTCCGAATCTAAATCGTATTTTACTATAAATCTATTTAATATCAGTCCCCTGAAGCCGTCGAGCATCAGATGTTTCCCAATATTTAATTAGCACCGGCAGAACAACTTATCGTCGACGTCGGTAAAGTTTCCAAGAAAACTTCCGGTTCCGCCTGAATCCGCTACAGCTCCGACACGGAACTCCTTTTCGGCTCGCGCCCCCATCCATCTTCGCTCGATCGTCGCAACTTCATTGAACTAGTAAATAGATTAATCGAACGCTTACCTGCCCTCCGGACTGATTCCACTTTCCCGTATCGGCGAGAATTCGCGTTTTCATTTCCCACAATGGCGCCGCTTCCATTTCTTCCTCCTTCTTCTGTCTCTGCTTCGATTGTAATCATTTTTTGTTTGCGTCTTCTACGCGCTCTAAGTTGTTGAGGGTAAATCGTTCTTTTTCTTTATAGCTTGGAGACGAGCCGACGTTTAATCTTCTTTTTTTATTTTTGCGCTTCCTATTTGAGTGGCTGCCGAGTAATAGGAAAATATGCCAACGAGTGCGAAATTAGCGAAGTAAATTCAATTATCCTCGGAAAAGTGGCAGAAATTAATTGATAAATAATTTCTTGTAAAAGCTGCATCTACTCGTTATAAAAATTAAGTTAACAATGGTAGTAAATCCGGGCAAATAAGAATGTACTTGGGACAGAATTGTATACGATATGGTAATGGTTTCAAAAAATAATTTCCATCAGTCTCATATAAATTAATGAAAAAGAAAGTAATATTGTGGGATTGCAACTTGCTCACTCTAACCGCTGTTATTTTAATAATCTTTTTTTATTCAACTCACAATATTGACCATATTTCAAACAAATTTGCACTTACGTACCCATATAAAACATGATATTTTAAACATGAATGAAAAACACATGAAAATTCGTTTGTATAAAGCGCTCTAAATTCAAATTTTAAACAAACATCCTGTGTTACAAATAACTAATAATAATTTAACAGTTAATACCTAGAGCAAGTCTTCCTTTACATCACCATAATGCAGACATAAAGACCATTTCAACGGAACAAAGAGTGCAGGCATTATTTCGAGATGATGCGCCAACGAGAGTAGTTAAAGTTATTTTTAGAAGTCGTTTCGTTCGCATTTTGCGATTTCATTCGAAAAAGAAAAAAGAGATTTGTTTGCGCGTTTGCGAAAGATAAAGAAAATTTGATATGCATAAAAGCGGTGCGTGAATAATGCATGAGGTGAGACCTAACGACGATGTTAATTCAACAAGTTCTGCAATTTGTTTTTACGCCAAACTTTCTTTTTGTTTAACGGAATGATTTCCTTATGTTTGATTTTTAAAATGTTAAGTTGGTTTATTTCGGTGTTTTTTAAGGTTGGATCTCCCAAACTAGCAACGTTTCAAGTAATTGAAATAAATGGGTTTTATAGAAAACGTAGGCACTTTGACTAAGCAGAAAGCAATCCTGTAAGTGTATGAGAAAAACATCATATAGAAAGTCCTTTTTGCAAATTTACCAATTCGCTCAGAAGTGACTTTTTTGAACCCATTTTAGAGCTTTATTTTTTGCATTGGAATAAAAAATTCTCTATCAGAAACTTCACTCTAGCATCCATAATGCACGCAACATATGTTTAAATGAAACGTTCACTACCGGCCGATTTTCGATCGATTTTCGCCGATGCATCCTCGGTCCGGGTACTTTTCCTTCATTTAAACCGTAGGGAAACCAATCATGACTTTCATCGATCACAAACAGCATTCGTAGCATGTCAAAACGTAATAAGCTTTCTATGGAAACGGCACGACGTCGACCAGAAATAAATGAAACGTCAGCCTCTATCCTAATCAATCTCTATCTGCAGCGGATTGCGAATAAAAAACCAGCGCGGAAAAACGTTACAAACTGTACCGAGTACACGTCGAAGGGGGCCGAGAGCATGCCCCTATCCACTTCAAATCGCAAAACGCATCCTATCTGATCCTGCCAGCGTCGTTTTCAAACGTTAAATATTGTTAGTATGTACAGGATGTACCAATAAGAGTGCAGAATTACAGTAGCTCAGCGCCAGAGTGGCCCAACTGCGAATTACATTTACTGGTATCCAGGAAAAGTGCTGCATATTTTCTAAATA